CTCCTTTTTCTCCTCTGCCCCTGTTACCTACACTTGTTTGACAGAAGTCCTATCTTACCTTCCTTTTTTCCCCTCTGACCCTGTTACCTACACTTGTTTGACAGAAGTCCTATCTTACCCTCCTTTTTCTCCTCAGCCTTGGCCTCAGTCTCCCCATCTTCCTCCGTTTTGACTGCCTTGTCTCCCACATCATCCTCGAGCTCCTTCTTCTCCTCTACCTCCATCTTGATTTCACTCGGCTCCTTTTTGATTCCGCTGGCAGACAGTTCCAGTTCCTTGACCTCCTTGTTCACCTTCTCCTGTATGCCTTTGTTGAGTTTCTCGTTTCTCTGTAACAACCTGTCAAAAGCCTGCAGCAGCTTTCCTATGGCTCGTTTGGAGAATTCCACACGCTGGCCTAGTTTCTGTTCCAGTTCTTGTTTATCCCACGTGGACAACAAAGTCAGGAAAGCTTTTGTTTCATCACTCTCATCTAAAAAATCAACATGAATGTAAGAAGACAAAACTCACAGTACTAACACTTTCCCTCTTAATACACAACATTGAAAACATTACTATATCTGCTAAATGATTATCAAATCAAACAGATCTTACAAAAGAATAATATATCATAAATTTCCTAATTACTTAAGATTCTTAACATAGAGCATTTATTATTGCATAATTCATTTAGGGGAACCAGGCACAAAATAAAATTATGCTTTTCCATTTTGCTGAAATACACACAAAAACACTTGATTAATAAATGTTAATTCAAGTATTCCTGCTTTAGCACTTTAGATCAAACAAGTCATTTTGTGGTATTAATGCCCTGTTCACATGGAGAGTTTAATTTGCGGTAAATTAATGCGAAGTAAACTAATGTGAATCAAACTAATGCGAATTAAATATGTTCACACGACAGCTAATGCGAAGTAAACTAATGCAAATTAAAATTTTACTTCTGCAGCCCGGCGTCAGCACGGCTATTATGACGTCATTTGCAAATCAAGGCACCTTCTGCAGAAGCAAATCCATTTGACATAATGGCAAAGTGTCTGTATATACACATTTTAATGATTAACAAAATTTTCCTTAGTTTCTCACTCAAAAATAGCACAAGTACCTATAGCTGACCATCGACAAAAGGTATTTGACTAAATTTTGCCATTACGCATGCATCAGAATTTAATTCGAATTAGCTTCGCTTAGCGTTCACACAGAGCTAATGTGAAGTTATTTAATGCGCAGTAAATTAATTCGCATTAAACTAATTCGCATTAAATTCTCCGTTTGAACTCTAAGCGAAGCCAATTCGCAGTAACTTCATGTTTAATTCAAATTTAACTCTCCGTGTGAACAGGGCATAAGTACTCATGAAAAAAGGATCAACATTACTTACTCTTAGTTTCTGTTTCATCTGCAGTCTCTGCATCAAATCTTTGCAAAAGGACTCTGATATCTTCATCAAGCTATGGAAAAATACACACATATAGAAGAACATAGCTCTGTTGTATTTAAATAATGTAATACTGATATACACGCATATGCCGAATTTTCAATAACAAATAATTAATGCAACTTATACACAGATATGCTGAATGTCTTTTAATCACTATCTATTTGCTAAAACTTTATCTTTGTTGTTGAATCACACAAGATGATGTGCTCGCATAAATTTCATTTTCATTCTAGTGTATATCAGTAATTAGTATTACTTTATAAGCTTACATAGTTCAATGACCACATTCTGTGAAAATTCTGATCTTGCAAAAAGTTTTTGTTGTCACACAAATTTAATGATTTACAGTAATATTTTTTTTAGTTACTTTATAATTGCATCGTACCAAAATTATGGAAAACTGAAGCTGAAAGTTCCAGCATATTATACATGTTGCATATTACAATACATCTTAAGAGTTCCCCGTATCTTATATGCTGAATACTAGAGTATAAACATATTGAGGTGTAGTTTGAGGATTAGACCTGGTTCCAGTATCTGTTTACAATCATAAGAACAGCGTCGTCAGTCCTCTGTCGATTCTCCAGCTGGTCAATACGACGTTTTAACTCATCCTCGGCCCTCTTTCTCTGTTCTATTCTCTCAGCTAACTTCTTGTTTTGAAACCTCAAAACCTTCATGTCCAGTTCTTCCTGAAGTCATAAGTAAAAAGGAAACAATGATCATAGTAAAACACTGTATGTAAAAGTTTATCATGTCTCCATCGTGAAACAGTTTAAGCATATATAATAAGTAATAGTGTTACTTTTCGTCCATCAAACTGCCATTCCATCATAGTTTTTCTCCTAACTTTTCTTTTATATTATGCACCAGCTTGTAGCTAGTGAGCTGATTTTTTAGTATGTTGATATTATGTTTTCTAAATAATACCCCATGTTTTCAGACCTTTTTCCTTTGCTCCAGTGTTTTCTTATAACAATAAGTATAATTTTTTCCTATAAACCTTGAAAGTGAATCACCATTTCATGCACCTAAAGTATATTCTGGTATAGACAACTGCATGATATTTTGTTTTTGTGCCATTTCTACAAATTGGTATAGTTCTCACATTCTTGGTCTTTCAAATAAAAACTTGCACATATGTGTTAGCAGGGACATTTATTATATCTTATTATTATTTTATAACTATTATTACATTTTATAATTAAAGTTACTACGTATCATTTTTGTAATTACAGGAATACTCATTCTTAGCTTACCAGATTCCCTATAGTGCCTATCCTCACTGGTTCAAACCTTGTTAATAGCTTCTTTGCTGGGGGTCCAGAACTAGACCCCCCTCCTTGATCCTCAGCAGGGCGTTTGGATGACATCCTGAAATTCTATAAGAAATGGAGAAAATCTCAAATACTTTGCTAAGATAGAAATCAGTGTACAAACATTTTGGGTAAAAATATCAGTACCTGGTATTTATGATTTTTTTTCTAAAAATCATATACCCCGGTAATCACATAATATACATAAAGAAATTTTTACCAGTCACTTGAAAAACTCCAAATTTGTAATAATCCTATATTATAGTGCGGAGCAAATGGGGTGGCATATGCATAGCAGCAATTTTTTTTGTGAAAAAAAAAATTGCAAACTTAAATTTGACGCAATTTTGAATTTTAATACCATAAAACTATCATTTGTATTCTCAAACTAAATGATTTAATTTGTATAATTTCTTCACTTTAAGGGCTTGAGTATTTCTGAATTTGTCCAAAAAAATACAAGAAGTTGAAAGAAGCTTAATTCCAGTGCATGGGAAGTCTTCAATTAGAAAGAAATTTTTATTATGTCATAAACAAATAAATGTTGATTTTGAAAAAGTTGAACTTATAAGTAAATGCAGACTGAAGAATTTTATTGAAAAGTACAATGACATAAACAGAATGCAAAATGCACATTTGAGAGGAGCATAAAGTTGCAGAAAAATCATTAAAAAAAATGAAACTGCACTTGCCATATCAGTTTTAGTGTCAGACTTAAAATAGCGAGTGCAGCACGAAGCACCGCTCCTGTAGCAAGCTCCCTAGACAATATGTACATTTTTTTAATGAACCAAGGACAGGCAGTACAAATGTAAACTGGGTTTAGGTTTTTGATAGTACAAAACTGCACTCACCCCAACAGTCACACTGTAGAACATATTACATTTAAGAAATGAAATAAATTTTTGAAAAGTCATGAGGTTATGAAATACGACACTTCATGCCGGCATATTTCATGAAGAACGTTAGCGCTTCATGATAGATATGCCGGCGTTAGGCGTTGTAGTTCCTATACCTCACGAATCTTCAAAAATTTAATTTATTTCATATATTTACATTTTTTTTCTGATGACTTGCCATAAATTTACCACATTCAACTGTCATTTTTAAAGCAAAACAGCATGCATTATTATACTTCTGTTAAAATGTTTCCTATATAAAGTTCAGAAGGTAAAATAGCTATCTTTGATAGTCTACGCATAGCAAAGCTATACCCCGGGGTATAGTTTTTGCTATCCACCCTCCGAAAATTTTCATGCAATTTTTGCCACCAGCAAATTGATTTCCAGCGATAAATCTATTGACTGATGATGTCATAATGACTTCAGTAGCATTGTGACGTCATCATGATGTCAGATTATTCTTGTAGTATTATCTTACTAAAAAATAATTCAAACCTCAAAAATTGTAATTATACATCAGTATAATAAAACATTTATCCACAGGTTGTGAGTGGGATAGCTCTTTCATCAAACCCTTGACAGGAACTACTCCCCTCGGGCAAGCCCTCGGGAATAGTTCCCTGTCGTGGGTTTGATAAAAGAGCTATCCCACTCACAACCAGTGGATAGGTGTATACTATATTTTTTGACATCAAGTGCAGTATTATAACGTAACAATGGAGATATTCATGCTTATTCGTGGTACATATGTAATGTAGTTCATGAGAAAATGAACTGCATTTTATTTTGTAAAGAATCATTGGGGAAATTTATTGGAAATGTAAATATATAAACGTAAACTGACAGATAACATGCAAATCAAGAGTTACTTAGTATCAGGGACCTAAAGTAGTCACTGATAGTGACAGTGCACTCCGCTGCTGGACCTGACATATTTACAAGTTTTTGTCCATTTCAAATACAAAAGCAAACTCGCAAAAACTTGCATTAAAACCACTGAATTATGATACTTCGAGTGGCTAAATAAAGCTACGTAGGTAATTGCACTGATTGTACTCGAAAACGCATAAAAACACCATTCTGAAACCGAGCTCTTGTGTATAATACATGACAATTATAAAGATTCAACAGCAAATAAAAACTCTATTCAAAACCAGTTTTTTAAAATTAGCCCTGGTAGCAAAATAAAAGCTGTAATGTTGAAACATACAAGAAAAAAGTGCCGTTTTCTATCACTGCAACTTTTTCACGTCTTGAACTGCGCCATTTTGAAAAAGCCCGGATGTGCTGCATTTGTTCGGTACATCTCAAGGATTTATATAAGTGAAACGATCAAAAAGTCCGAGATAATCCGAAAGAATTCACAAAATCCAGAAAATGACTGTCACATGAAGAAAGATGACAGACGTCGATGAGCTTGACGTAAACCCTCTCTTCAGGGCTTTACAGGTTTGTATTCTTCAAAGTATTTATTTCATAGCTAATTAACGTGATGTAATTTAATTGTTTTTAATGACAATTTTGAAAATCAAGTGACAATGCTGTCAAGTGAAAAATCACTCAGAGAACCTCCCTTAGCCTTGACTCAAAAGCACTGTAGTCCTACAAGATAGCATTCCTGAGGTAAACGTATACATTTATAATTCAAAGCCCAAGAACCTGTGTTCATGACAGGTGATATGGTCTTTAACAACAATAAACTGTTAAATGTGTGTAATCTGTCAATATTTTTAGATTAATTTTAGAAATTTAGTTGCATCTTCAGTTTTTGTATGTCTATTATAATTATCCACTTTTTTTTTCAGAAAAAGTACCAAGATTTATATGATATAGCTCAGGATAATTGTTATATTGTCTGCATACCACAAACCTCATCTTTGGTAAATGTTACAGTTACAAGGAAACTTATTGGTATGTTAAACAATGTTACAGTATTATTTCCCATATCTGTAATTGATTCAATAAAAAAATCAAATTATATGGAAGAAATCATAGAGCACATAGTTTGAAACTACCTAGCTCTCCCTTATTATTAGTATACTCAGTTTGGTATTTAAACAATCATACATATCCCAGCTGGCAGTTATCTTGTATTTTAAGTAAAAATGCTGTATTTTTCAGCAACACATATACTAAAGCCTTCACCTTACTTCAAAAGGTAAGCATACAAATTTATTGTAACTGTTTATTCAATTATTTTACCTTTGTAAATTACAGTACATGTACTGCTGTGGAAAGAGATATCATATTGTTCAGTCCAGTCCAATACAAAAATTCGTAATATTACGAAAAAACATAAGATTACGAGAAAGCGTAATATTACAAGTTATCGTAATATAAAACTTATATTACAATTTTTCGTAATGTAGTTAAATTACGAATACGCGTAATATAGCAGATGTAAGAGACTATATTACGAGTTTTCGTAATCCAAGACAAATTGCAAGAAATTTTTTCGTAATATTACGAATTTTCGTATTGGACTGGACTGTTGTTCTTTACTTGCATATAGGGTCATGCCAAATAAAATTCTAATTTAAACCCATTCTAACAATATATCATGATATATACTCCACATTTCTTGAATATTTATCGACCTAATCTTTGATCAAAGGCAAGTAAAATTTTAAAATCGGCAAGGCAGTTTGATAGAAAAATACTTACAGGTAACTATTTTATTATATCACAGCCAAAAATTTTGACATTCAAACTGGGTTCCACATTGATTGAATTCTTTGTAAAGTATACCTTTAAGATAAATTAGATAAAATTAAAAAAGCATAATTGCTAATACAGTAAAACTCATTTAGTATGAACTCGGACATTTCGCATTCACGGATGTAGCAAAGTTATCTAGGATTCCCAGCTATATAGTTTTAACGAATTCCTTATATGGACATAACAAATTACGGATATAGTGAAGTAATTTCATAGGTCCCAGTGACTTCATTATAACCGAGTTTTACTGTATGGTAATTAATTAGGGATGTCAAAATTGTCAATAATTGATATTCGAATATTCGATAGGAGTATTCAAATATATTCGAATATTCGATAAAATAAATAAATTTTGCATTATAAAATATATATTTTCACTGTCCAGTCAACCAGTATAGGTTTTATGTAATTATTTTGGAATAAAATTTCAAGTAGAGTTTTGTAATTGCAAAGTAATTATATTTTTAAAATTTTCCAGAATATATGAAGAGTATATATACATCCAAAATGTAATAAAAGATTGTTTTTGAACATTCAAAATATTCTTTAGTATGTTCCAGATTAGTTGATCGTATTACAATGTACCAAAGTCTACACTAATTACTCCTACAAATTTATACCTCGCTAAAAAATTATCTACTGAAGAACAATTAAATTCAATTAGTTTTAGCTAATTAATTTCCTGATAATCATTTTAACGATATATGCATAAACTTGGGATCAATGTGTTTTCTGTACAGCTGTGTCCTTAAACAATACAAACTGATTGCAAGTACTTTGCACTGTTATACCAATAATTAAATGATCAGAGAATAATTTATTCTAATAGTTACACTCTTCACACTTTTAAAGTAACCCAACAGGAGTGTCTTTTAATTTCTTTTTTTAATCAAATATTATTCCTAGTCTACGGTACGAATTTGGTTCAATTTTGATATAAAACTTGCAAGATTTATTCTCTGTTAAATGCTTGTATACTTTACAACCGTATCATATATTTATATTCGAATATTAACTCATCGAATGAATATTCGAATATTTTCGTTGACATCCCCATAATTAATATATTCATATTGTATTTAATAACATGATTAAGAACATACATTTTTATCAGTCAAGGGCATCATGGAAACAAGTTATTTTTGAAATAATTTGTTTCAGTTATTAAATGTCTACATTTTGGGTTATCTTCCCCTGATTATGCTTTTCCTCAGTAACCTATTCCTGTTATTGATACTTTACTACTCATTATTGTAAACCTAGTGGCATCTGAATAGCTTTATTCTTGCTGTGCTTGGGTTATTAAGTAGAAGGAAAACGTTCATGACAGTAAAAGTAATCTAGCTTTAAGATTTAACACATTGAAATCCAACAAATTATAACTTATTTCTGTTATTTCATCATTAACCCACCTCACTTTAAAACTCTTGCACAAAAATCTACAGCTTTGCACAAAAAATATAAGACATGGAGATTGTACAATAATATTCATAGATTTTAGGAAAATTAGTCTCATTGTTGGCAAAATTGGCGTAAGATGTGTAATTGACCTCTGAAATGTTAATAAAATGGAATTAATTTTCCTTGAAAAATGTCATGTTATTTTTGTAATATCATCATATCTGCTCAGGAGATATTAGGTTTGTTGAGTCTATAAAAAGAAGTACATATATTTACATTTTTTATAGCCTTAAATCATCTTAAATCAGCAGCAAACTCAAAATATTAATGTTTTTTGGCAAAGCTGATAGGCATTCTACTTTTAAGCATTAACTCAAACAAGTTACTTTTTAGCTCTACTGGTCAGAGACCAGAAGAGCTTATGCGATAGTAATTTGCTTTTTCAAAATGCTACTCCTCCTACAGTTTTGGTCTAATTTCAATATAACTTAGCACACAAGTAGACTACACTAAGATACATAATTCTGTGTATCGGTTTTTGATTTCGATGAACGATGTTGCCGTGGTTACTAAAAATAGAAATTTCCGTGAAATTCTTTCAAAATGCTACTCCTCCTACAGTTTTGGTCTGATTTCAGTATAACTTGGCACACAAGTAGACTACACTAAGATACATAATTCTGTGTATCGGTTTTTGATTTCGATGAACGGTGTTGCCGTGGTTACTAAAAATAGAAATTTCCGTAAAATTGTTTCAGAATGCTACTCCTCCTACAGTTTTGACTGATTTCAGTATAAGTAAACAAGTAGAATACACTAAGATACATAATTCTGTGTATCGGTTTTTGATTTCGATGAACGGTGTTGCCGTGGTTACTAAAAATAGAAATTTCTGTGAAATTCTTTCAAAATGCTACTCCTCCTACAGTTTTGGTCTGATTTCAGTATAACTTGGCACACAAGTAGACTACACTAAGATACATAATTCTGTGTATCGGTTTTTGATTTCGATGAACATGTTGCCGAAAAATAGATTTCTGTAAAATTGTTTCAAAATGTACTCCTCCTACAGTTTGGGTCTATTTCAATATAACTTGGCACACAAGTAGACTACACTAAGATACATGTGTATCGGTTTTTGATTTCGATGAACGGTGTTGCCGTGGTTACTAAAAATAGAAATTTCTATGAAATTCTTTCAAAATGCTACTCCTCCTACAGTTTTGGTCTGATTTCAATATAACTTGGCATACAAGTAGACTACACTTAGATACATAATTCTGTGTATCAGTTTTTGATTTCGATGAACGGTGTTGCCGTGGTTACTAAAAATAGAAATTTCAGTGAAATTCTTTCAAAATGCTACTCCTCCTACAGTGTTGGTCTGATTTCAATATAACTTGGCATACAAGTAGACTACACTAAGATACATAATTCTGTGTATCAGTTTTTGATTTCGATGAACGGTGTTGCCGTGGTTACTAAAAATAGAAATTTCCGTGAAATTATTTCAAAATACTACTCCTTCTACATTTTTGGTCTGATTTCAATATAACTTAGCACACAAGTAGACTTCACTAAGATACATAATTCTGTGTATCGGTTTTTGATTTCGATGAACGGTGTTGCCGTGGTTACTAAAAATAGAAATTTCTATGAAATTCTTTCAAAATGCTAACAGTTTTGGTCTGAAATATAACTTGGCATACAAGTAAAAATACATGATTCTGTGTATCAGTTTTTGATTTCGATGAACGGTGTTGCCGTTGTTATTTCTGTGAAATTCTTTCAAAATGCTACTCCTCCTACAGTTTTGGTCTGATTTCAATATAACTTGGCACACAAGTAGACTTCACTAAGATACATAATTCTGTGTATCAGTTTTTGATTTCGATGAACGGTGTTGCCATGGTAACTAAAAATAGAAATTTCTGTTAAAAACTCTCAAAATGCTACTCCTCCTGCAGATTAAGTCTGATTATAATATAATGTGGCATGCAAATAGACTATACTAAGAACATAAAGGGACTTAATCAAGGATCATTATTCTTTTTATTGCTGTGGTAAAGTTTCAATTCCCAACTGCTTAAGAACTTTTCTTTTCCTTTGCTATAAGTACAAACCAGTAGAGCTTCAGTCTCGACAGAGACTTCTGGTTTGTTTAGTAATAAATAAGTGTAGTAACCTAAACAAGTTATTTTAAAAAATAACTTGATTCCATCATGCCCCTGACTGTTTATATGTAGGCTTTAGAATATTCTTTCTTCTTTATAAATTAAAGATGAATGAATTAATATTTTTCCTGATCTTCATATGCCATTTCAAATTGCATGATTAGATATTTACAAAATTTCTATTTGCTCATACTCTGAAATTTTTAATGCATATTAATAAAAAATATGTAGCTAATGTTATTATTTACACCTGAATGGCAATTCGCTGTTGGTGTAATAAAGTACATCTTTATTGTATAGTCTGACAACATGTTTTGTTCTCCCTAAGCCACAGACAGGGAAATGATTGTAATTAAATGTGCTATTGTCCTAATTATTCTAATAGACAGTGGCTAGTATAACTGATTTCTGATGTATATTTCACTTTACCTGCAGTCAGTACCAGACACTGGATTCTCCAGATAAAGTTGTACAGTTAGAAGTCAATGGGAAGGAGTTTCGAACTGTTGAAGGTTTACAGCAGTACTTCATCTCTAAAAAAAAAAATAAAAATATGTAATCTGTTATCAAAGATTTCAGAAATTTTAATAATTAAGTTAAAAAAATATGTTTATTTATAATATAGAATTGAATTATGATTCCTTTTTTTATGCTTTGGCAGGGTTCTCAGATGACCACTCGGTGAAGATTTTAAATGAAGAACTGGGGTATAATAAGGTGTGTATACAGATACAATATTGTAGAACTCTTCAAATGATGAGTAAGCAGCGGATGATCAAGTTGTAAATGAAGAGCACATATTGAGTGAATGCAGAGAGTAACAAAAATAGAATGCAGTTATAGATGGGCATGGAATATATAGCCAATAAGGAATATATTTTGTTTATATATCAACAAAACTTGGAGAGGGGGTCGTAGAACAACCAGTATGTAGTTAATTTGGATATATGGTTGCATTTATACATGCCTAACAAATATTCAATATTATTGTAGGATTATAAAGCATACAAAATCCTGATTTTAGAATGTCCTTTGGATCCATCTTTAAAGGTACAGTAAAACACATCTTAAAAGATTTCAATAACTTAAAAGAAGCAAGCACTGAATTATCAAAGAAAAAACAAAAGTGTTTTGTTTCTGTGTAAATATTTATTATGTTGCAAGATTTTAAAAAAGAATGATCTTGATAATGTGAATAATTATATGATTATAAGTATTAGGCATTAATAGGAAAATGAAGTTGTTTTTTGATATGTTTAAGGTTTATAAAACTGAAAGTAAGCTGCAGGCAGCAACAGATGGCATACCTGGATACTCCACATACACAGAGTGAGTGAAGGAACATAGCTTTCTAATGTTTTCAATTATTATGCCCTTCTTCAAAGATGCGGGGGCATATTCTTTGCAGCTGTCTGTAGGTCTGTCTGTCAGGCAACCTCTGTGAAGCAAATGAATGGAAACTGATAGTGTACCACCATCATTTTCCGTTCATTTTCTTCGCAAAGGTTGCACATATTGAAATGAAATGAGGTTTACAGATTTATCATAAGAATATCTAGGTCATGTTTTGTTTTGGGTACAATCAGGCCATTTGGGACAGAGTTATGCCCCTTGGACTTAGAAAAATTTCAATCATTTGCATTTTCCATTTATTTTCTTTGCAGAGGTTGCACATATTGAAATGAAATTTGGTATTCAGATTATTCATAAGAATATCTAAGTCAAGTTCTGTTTTGAAAACAACCTGGCCATTTATACCCCTTGGACTTAGAAAAATTCCAATTATTTGATGGAGGGGGGCATAAGTGTTTTACAAACATCTCCTGTTTTGTATAACTTGTACATTATACATTATTCTGCTTGAAATCTACTTTAGAAAAATTGGGTTTCATACCCTTTAATCCTCAGTGTCCAGGGGGCAGGGGGGGGGGACAGATCAGTGGTCCTAGATTTTCTGGGTCACCTTTAATTCGACTTGTATAATAACCATGTCAATGTTTACATTCACTGTATATCTTTATATTTACATTCGCTGTGTTTTTCTACAAAGCCAACTGTTAAATTGATTTGAAAGTCAATTTTATGTATACTCACTCATAGAAATATACATGGAGAAACGTGCGCTAACGTGTCGTCATAATAAGGCTACAGCGACATTAATAAAAGTATATCAATATAGGGCAGCAAGAAATTCAAATATTGAGTATATTTTTGGTGCTTTCAAACATGTAAATATATTATAAGGAATGATTTTTAAGTTTTGTGTGAGTTATTGTTGTGTGAATCACACAGACTTGCACGTAGGGATATTTTTCATTAAGCGCTAGCCCCTAGGGTGCTTCATGAAATATGCCAACGTGACAAGTCTGTGTGATTCACACACAAATAACTCACAAAACTTAAAAACATTCCTTAAATGAATTACCAATGAAGTAATGACCCCTAGATCTAGAAATAATTAGAATTTCTCACAGAATAAAAATGATTCCACTGTAGATTTGGAAGAAGGAAATTTATAAGATACAGTACTTGTCAAATTATGACATATTTATCAAAAAAGGGAAGATTGACTTTAAAATGATTTTGAGAAAGTTGACATCATTTTAACTTCTTTTTCTTTTAAACAGATCCTGTAATTTCTTAATATCTCATGCTGAGTACAGAATGGTAGGTTCATATACATTCTTAATACTGTTGAATTAATGTTACATATTTATTAAGTTTCACATATATGTACAAACAGTAAAACTTTAGTATTTGAATACCATTATCTCAAATACCAGAGATATGGCAAGTAATCTGAAAATCTCCACCACTCCTTATTTGAGTATTTTACCTTGGTATCTGAAATCTGTACCTATCTAATTTTTTTTCTTAGTTTGGGATTGAAAGGTTTGAAAGTATACATTTACCAGTATTTTAATGCATAATTCATATATTTGATTTTGAAACAGCTGTAAGCATCAAACAATTTGTGTACTACTTTGATTGTTCCTTGTGATTCACAAATTGAAAAAAATTTCAAAAAAAATAAAATATTTTTTAAGGTTTTGCGTCAGTTGGACGAGAGTTTGAAGCAGTTTAATGCTAACTACATGATACTTAAAGACTACCTCTTAGAAGCACAAAACAAGCTCAAGTCCCTGTGTCAACAAGTAGCCAGGGTAACAATCATACTTGTGTATTTAAATGTCTGGTTTGACCCTCTGTTAAAATTTTGAGTCATTTACTGTATTAAACTTGAAAAGGAATACCAAATAAAATTAACTTTCTTTTGAGTGGAAACTGTTTTGAGAAAAAAAAACACTTGTATATGATTTTTTAGCAGAGTTTGTATCTTCCAGGATTGTCTAAAATGTTCAAAGTTTGAAAAAGAGCAGGATCCAAAATTCAGAGAAACCATAGATTTTTGTGTTGAAAGGTAGGCACTTACCCCTTTTCTCTTCTTGGTTCATTGATGATTCCGTGATTAAGGGCTCTGAAATAATAATTTTTTGTTTGAATTTTGAAGCTATGTAATGGGAGCAGTCCACAAAAAGGTGTTTTCTGTCATCAAGGAAACACATGAGGAGGAGGATAGATTACTTTTTGCAAAATGTAAACAACTGCGCAATGTAACAGCGGAACAGCTAGGGGTTAATAAGAAAATCGCTTGTCCTCTTCCACAAGCTGTAAGTATTTATTTCAGTTAGATATGCAGGACAAAAGATCTTATTAAACTGAATTACAAATAAATGTATCCAAAAAAAATTATATTCATTAACTGTGCAGCATGATAGGTTCCAAGAAATAATTCCAAAGTAACTAAAGTTTGTAAAATGTTGTCATTGGTAAAATTTACCTATCAAATATTAGTGTGATTTTGCATATTAGGAATTGATACTTGTGTACATACATGTAGATCAAGATTCTTGTAAATAAGCTCAATATATATTGATTATTTAACATACTACATGTATTATATTGTCTTGTATTTTAACCAAAGGTTGTAGAATTGGCAAATCTGGATGGCCTAAGGACTCCTCTAGAGAAATTATTCTGCTTGAAATCGACAGTGGTAAGTTACCATCATAGTTAATTAGAATTCTCTTAGATAGGATTTTAAGGTGCTTAAACACAGATTTGAAGTTCATATTTTCTCAATTTTCTGGTATAAAATCAAGACTTTTATGTTGCAATAGCATTTCACACTGAAATATAATCAAAATCTTATTTCATATTGGAGTTATGGAAACTTTGAATTTCTGGACGGGTTTGATTGCACTTTCACAAATTTTGATTTAAGAGAAGTGGCAATTTTGTTGTGTATTAATGAAAAATTATTAAAACTATAATCCAGAAAATTCAGAGTAGAAATGTTTGAAAGCAAAACCCACTCACAGTATATTGGCAGTCCGTGCTTAGTGGTTTGTGCAGACTTTAACAATTGAACACACCTGGTGAATCATAAACATTAACAAATAACAGATAACAGTGTGTCCAATTGACTAAACTCTGTACACAACACTGAGCACAGACTTATGGAACTAGTGAGGGGGTTTTGTTTTGGAACTTTTCCACTCTGAATTTTCTGGATTAACTGATTAAACTCATATTATACTGTACATTTAGGACAATGCCAGTCAGACTATACAGAGTTATTTAGAAGAGAATCGTGTACCCCCAGTGTCTGTCGCAGTGGAAGATAGTAAGATCTTTACAGAAATACTTTTTAAGAATTTTTTTTCACAGTGGATAAATGAAATAAGAGTTTACAAAAACAGAATGTTACTGAAAAGCTGGCAAATAAATGATTCTACATTTATGCAGATAAAAAAATTAGCTGACATTAAATAATGTTACTGAATTTCCTAATTGTAGGCTACTGTCTGACATCTGATGATCTCATCCCTATCTTAGTAAGTACCTCTTTGTTTGATTCTTTTCTCTTTGTCTGTAAATGTTTTTAGATTTAAGAAAAATATTATTTGGACTTATTATTCATAAAAGTGAAAGCATTTCATACAGAGATGCAGAAATTTCCATATGTTAAACAACATTCAAGACATTGAACTTGATTGGACAAAAGCTTTCTTTTAAAGTTTAATAATTAAATATTAAATAAATTTTTAAGTATCTAGTGTAATGAGTACTGCTTTGACCTGGTACTTGTAGGTGACTGTGATAGCTCAGGCTCAGTGTCGACATTTTGCCAGTAACATTAGCTATATAGAGTCATTCCACTGGGCCTCAGAGGCCAATGACAGAGGCAACCTTAGGTAGGTGGTAAAAGTAGGTCACCTGAGTCCCTACAAGTAATAGGATAGAATCCACTGGGATTTTTTTTCTGATAAAAATGCCATTAATAAGACCAATTTTTGAAGTGATTTGAAATGACTTTTCAGCTACTGTTTGGTGACGTTTAAGGCAGCTGTGGAATATATGAAGAACACGTCCTTTGATGAGTTGGAGAGGAGACCCAGCCTGAAGAGAGAGGTCCGTAGCTCACCAGTCACACTGGGAGACTAGAGGAATTAATTCAATAATAAGGCTTCTGGATAAGGCTTCATTGATTATATTTTGAAAAAGAACTAAATGTTCATAGTGTATGTACCATTTTGTCTTGTAAGCAAGACTTCATGCATGGTAATGAGGTGTTTCTAAATATGCTAGAATTTTTAGACTTGTGACCTTGAAGTTTCACCTACTCCTCAAAAAATAATCATTGGTTGTAACTTTTGAATGAAAAAAATCTTGAACATTACCTCTGACAACAACCTTCAAGAAGAACTTTTTATTTTTACTTTATGACCTTGACCTATAAGTTTGATCTACTCAACAAAAATTAACTTAAGTCATACATTTTTCAACACTTTTGTGCAGTTTTGAGAAGTTTTAATCTTTACTTTTATGAATTCAAAAATGTACATTTTTTTTGTTTGATGGACAAGACGATTGTACACACTAACAAGATGTTACAACATGTAATAAATAATTGCATGCCAATCACTAAGACAAAGTAAAAAGAGTTCTTTGAAATTGTGTACAGACGTTTACAATACAAATGTGCCTTGGATGGTGCATTCATGTCAAAGGGACATATTTGTAAGGGTTTAAATTTGCAGATAAGCCTGGAGGAGTTGAGGAGAGTGACCACCGGTTCGTTTTCCGGAGACCCTGACTGTGCTGTAAGCAGCGCCAGCCTGAGACAGTCTGGTGTCAACCATTACGACCGGCAACTGGAGAGAATCTCACAGATGTTGAACGAATCCCACGAAGAGCTCAGGAAGTCAGAGAAAACCAACACGTATCTAAAGCAAAGTATTTTTGGAGGTATTGGATTTTGTTCCAAGAATTTTTGATGATTTTGATTGCATCAGAGGGTAAAGAAGAAAACTAAGATATTTAAGTCAGGATGATGTTGCAACGAGGTTAACGAGATTATAATAAAAATGTACAGGACAGTGTGAAATGATAAATTTGAATCGTTAATGTATTTTATTGACTTGATAAACACATACATGAACGTTTTTGATGTTTGTGATTCACACAGACTTGCATGTAAACATTTTCTTCATTGAGCATGCTAGCAATTACCTGACATAAACCTATGGTATATGACAATTCTGTGTGTTTTACACATCAGTAACACTCACAAACCAAAAAAGAACATTCCTTAAGTATTTAAATTGTCCTACATGTATGTTGTTATCAGTAATGACTACCAGGTAAAATTATATTTCAAAGCAATTAATGAAGCAGTTAGAATTTGTTTTTTCTCAGATATACGAGGGGTTATCAAAAAGTTCGTGGACTGAGGCTATAAAATTGGTACTATGTAGTCTGTGCTTTCAAAATTTATATGGAACATAAAACAACAAAAAATAAAGAAATGTTGAAAATTTTAGCTTGATATGTGCATTATTTTCTAAATTATTTTAAAATGAAAACGACAATATGTGATCACCCGGCGCTGTCGTCGTTTATTTTCATGACGTCCGATAACGTCATTGTTTTTTTCATTGTCTGCTTCTTCTACCTCGTACACTTTCTTGATGAGAAACCCTGGGGCTGAGTAAGGACTTAAACCCGCCTTGTTTATATGACTTTACAATGTCATGAACAGTGGCCTTCAATGAATGTAATATTCCAAATGGATTAATACATTGGGAGAGATCCACACTTGATTGTGCCAGCATATTTTGCTTTTGGGAGTTCAATATCTACAACGCATGATTAACGTCATTTTTTGACGTGATTGATTTTTCACACCTTGACTGCACATCGACATTAACTGTGTATCCCTTTTCTCTCTGAATCTATTTTGACATTAAAAGACAAGTACTCTTGATGCATTTTATTTCTCTGTAGCCAGTTTCAACATATTTTAGGTCTAACCAGTTTTTTTCAGGGGCAAAACTTTATAGAATGTTGAAAACGGGAGCCCCTCCCCCTTTTGACGTCATTTTTAAGGCCTCATTTGTTTGGACATTCCGTGTAAAATTTGCGATAAAATTTCATAGAACTTCCAGAATGAAGTGAAAATTTCGTATTTTATGGAACAATTGTGTCCAGACACGTACCTGAATTAACGGGATTTTTGGATGTCAAATGTTCATATCAAAATAGTTTTTCTCAGTTACACATAGGTCGCAAAAACGTCGTGTTCGAGGTTGCGCCGCCTGGACATACCATTGCTTACAAAAACATCACTAATTTATTAAAAAATAAAATTTATGATTTATGGTTTATTCTTTAGATAGAAAAGATGATGCTTACTAGATATTTTAAGATTCATTGATGTGCTTAAAGCAGTTTTAATTTTATGACGCTAGTCCACGAACTTTTTGATAACCCCTCGTACAATTACTTGTACCTTTGATAACTGCGATTTTTTGCTTCAATAAAGAATCTAAAATTGTCACTATAGAATTCATTGTACTGTATTTAGTGTATTGAAATGTATTTTTATAGAGAGTTATCAAAGATCCCTGAAACCAGTTGACGATAGGAAAAGAAATGGAAAAGGAAAAGAAGAACTGGGGTATGTATATAGTGTATTGAACTTCCTCCTATATACATGTATATAGCTATTCAGATTGATTGAAAGTTACAATCAGTAAATAAATGCATTATGGTGGATACTAATTATTAATAAAATTAATATTGGCTGATAGTCTGGAGACTGTGTGAATGAAAAAAAAACATGAAAAAAAAAATTAGGAACCTATTTATAGACTGTTTTCCAGGTCTGAGGATGGAGCCAAAACCCTGGAAATTCATACATTTTTTTTAAACTCTACAGGAATGTCTTGTCAAAAGACCAATTATATGCTGATGATAAGAGATGATTATATTACATACACAGAATGTTAAACTTGAAGCTGTGTATTTTTATACATGTTATTTTCAGGGATTTTATCACCTCTCTACAGAACGACATGTTTGGAATGAGTTTTGGCAAGCAGAGTTGATGTCTGTTTCCACAGAGAACTGATGTTAGTCTGTGATACTGACCATTGATATTTTATAATTCATTTGTAAAAAATAAAAAACTAATGATTAACAGATTCATTAACAGCAATCGTCTACTTCATCAAGCTTTGTAACAATTATCTTATTTTTAGCAATTCCATAAGATAGCAAAGACCAATATTCTGTTAATTTTCTCCATAAATATTTGAGATTTTATTATCTTTTATGAAGAGCACTCATTTTGCTATGTTATATATATAGACCTGTTTTCTTATGTTTTTGTCCAGTCAATACATGCATATAATTATGATAAAATTAGTCTAATTATTTAATTATTTATTAATGTGAAGTATTGTCTTATTTATATTTAATATTGTGAGTCCATTGTTTGTTATACTTCCAGCAAATTTTTATTCAGGTAAAACTATTCATTCTTTTGATTACTGCTGTAATAGACAGTGTTTATATCACTGGGAATATTTCTTTCTTCAGACATATCACCAACTTCAGGTATAATTTCATGTTGCCTGAGTTATATTGTGACCTATTGCTATCTGTCAATCATACTTCTACCAAGAAGCCATATGATACTCAAGTGACTATCAAGATTTTATTGTTTCATACTTTTGTATAGCATTAAGTTAATTTGTTTTGTTTTGTTGTTGTTGACTTATTTATTGCATATGATATACACTCGTTCTTTTAATTAATCATATTTGTTCTTATATTCTATTTAAGTATAATGGAAAATATTTTGTTGACTAATTTATTGCATATATTATGCAGCATCCTTCATAATGTTATACATTGTTGACCAGTACATGTATTCTATTCAGATAAAAGTAGAATTTACCTCAAATTGTAACAGTTCGCTATGCTATTAAATTTTTTATTTTGAAATGGCTATATGAATTTCTACAAATTTTTAATTTGCTGGCAGAAATCATTATTTATAAACATACACGAACCAGTTCATGGTCTTACCCCTCTGGGACATTAATTTAATGCTTGGACGAAAACCATTAAAGTATTTAAATTTCAAGTAAACAAGTTCCTAAATTTAGCAATCCAACTGTTTGCAGCTTTGAAGCTTTAGATTTTTTAATTGATATGGAATTTTAGCTCACATTGACGAAGTCTAGATACGATTTTGCTATACCCCCATTCTTGGCCTCGGCATTGGCTTAGCATATGTGTTCTGGTTTAAGTTATTGGAGCAGGTCCATTCCCAAGTATTTACAAGCTTTACTTGGAAAACTTGCATGGATGTTGCACCTAAGGATGAACACTATCTGACTTGCTTGGCATGCTGGATCTGACCTACATTTTCCAGTTGAGTAACCAGGTTAAGTTTGTGGAGCAGGACCATTCCCAAGTAACCTCAAGCCCCATATGGACTTGACATGCATGAATGATGCATCTAAGAATACACTATACCAGATTTGCTACAGAAGCAGGACCTGACCTAAATTTCCAAAGGAAGGACGAGGTTAAAATTTGAGGAGCATGTAGGTCCATTCCAAAGTAACAGTAAACCTTACATTGTCAAAACTTGCATGGATGATGCATTAAGGGATGAACGCTACCCATTCTGTTTCTGGAGGCTTTGTGAATAAGGTCCCAGAACATTAAAAAAAAATGAGTGAATTGTAGCACGTGTTATCGAAATTAGTATGGCTTATGTATCTCCCGGGAATGGAAACTTGCTACAGATGCTGAATTTGTGCAATGTTTTCCAGATGAGCGAACAGGGTAATATTTTTGAAGTATATCTTTCATTTTATGGCCCGATTTGATTTAATTTGCATTGATGATGCGTCCAAGGATGAATATTTCCAGGTCTGCTTCATATTTTGGAGCTGATCAATTTCCTATTTTCGTAATGCCGCCGGTTGTGGCGTTTTCCTGGGACGTAAAATACGGGAAAAAAAACGTAAAAACGTCATTATTTGTAATGGATCCTTTCACAATAACTGCGTTACTCCTCTTTCGCAGGGCAAAATTATATACTTTGGTGCCGTTTAAGGAATCACTGTCTATTAAGTAGAATATGCCAGTGCATCAACGATAGTTGGAAAATTGGAAAAATTTGCAGAATTGGCGGAGCATAAATTATTCCACGTTTCAAGATATCGTTGATGTCCCTGACATACTCTACTAACTAAACAGTGATTCCTTATATTTCGATTTTTTTGTGAAATAAATTTGTTAATTTAAGATTTTATAAATGTAGACGAATAGATTTAAATTGAAACAGGCCTCTCATGTTAATTTAATTAGTCCCTGCCCACTGACATTAAACAACAATATTAGGCATCCATCAACTGTACACGGGCTTATTTCTCTCAGTTCATTCGATACGGAAGAGCAAGTTCTATACCTATGAACAATTTCTAAAAAGAGGTAAGCTATTGACAAACAGGTTGATAAATCAAGAATATCAGCAGTCTCTTTTAAAGTCATCATTTGTAAGTTCTATGGTCCTTACAATGACCTTGTCAGCGCATACAATTTATCATTAAAACTGACTAATTTCCTACTGATTTGATGGGCGAATTCAATCACTAAAGTAAAATCACTAGTCCCCTAATCTTCTATTTGGGAAGTCAAATTTTAAAATGCAGAATTTATACCTTTTTTTAAAATGTCAAACTGGGCCTGCTCTTGGCAAACAAAAAAAAATACTAAAGAGAGGGTTGGGTTTTTGATTGTATTAAATGCTAGCTGTATCAATGATAAATGTTGTTTCCTTGCTCCGGGACACTTTTGATCTAATTTCACTTTATATTTAATTTCACTGTATATTTATTGGGCACAAAAAGTTGTGCTTAGTTCTGGATTAGTTCTTCCAAATTCTTACCTCAATCGCAAAAAGATACATTTAAAACAAGCTAATTCAGAGAATTCGTGTCCCCCGCTTAGGGAAGAAGTCGGCTCCCCCAGACTGAATTTGTAGAATTATTAAATGTATACATGTATACTGATAAAATACATGTATGTTATGCATCCTTTATTATGCGTTTATCACACTGTAATGATGATTTTATAACACTTTCACATGAATACTATCATTTCACTTTATATTTAATTTGTTTGATTTATTTAGCATTAAACAGTTCTAATAGATAATATTTAAGTCCGGGCACAAAAAGTTGTTTTATACGCAATAACTCTCTCATGCCCCTGCGCTAAAAATAGCGACATGTAATACTATAAATACTAATAAAACAAACGGGGCGGGGCACTTTGAGAGGGGCGAGAGACGTCCTAGGGAGTTTTGGTATAAAATTACATTGCATAAGCTCAAAATCTTCTTGAAATTGCAAAAAGATACATTGTATAAATTTAAAAAAATTAGGGGTCCTTAGGCCACAGGGAGTTGTTATATAAAATTTCATTGCAATAGCTATGAACAGACAGAATTTGCTTAATATTTATGACCTTGACTCTCCTCAAAATCAATAGGGGTCTTGTTTAGTCCATAGGGAGTTGCTATGCTAAATTTCATCGCAAAAGCTCAAAGGGTTCTCGCGTGTGGACTGAAGTACTCTCATTATCTTGCAAACCAAAATTGCATTATAAATACTAGACGATATGTTTGATGATCTCAATTTCAGGACTAGGAGGGCTATTAAAAACAATTATAAGGAACGTTTTGTTGTGGAAACAGTGGCGCAATAAATAAACAGTTTTTCAATGGGTGACACTGTAGCTCTCCGGTCTGTGAAATTTTTTTTTTCGAAGAGCTACAGATCTGCAGCTACTGTATAATAAGACACAAATCAAAATATAATTTGAAGAGAAATGCGAGGTATTTTTCTCTTATGGTGACGGGTACTGAAGGATAACTATAATTCACTTTTTATACATCAAATAAGTTACAAAAAGCATTGTCGTGTTGGTCACTTATTTTTTTTCATTCCAGTGGTTTTCATTGGGGGTTCTCCAAGATTAAAATTTTTGTATATGCCAGTTACTTGGGGGTGAATTTCACATTTTTCTGGAGGACGTCATCTCGATTCAGTACTTTCAGTACTTTGATTTCCCTTTATTTCCCGATCATGGCAAGAGCACACAGCGGATGAGACCGGTCGGCAGGGGATGCTTACTCCTCCATGGTACCTGATCCAACCTCTGTTGTTTTGGAGGTTGTTTGCTTCACTCCTTTTGTGTAATGTTTAATGGACTTTTGAGCTTGAATAATCAACAACATAACATTACTAATTTCTTCAGATCTAGTTATTTTGAAATGATTTTATTTGAACACTTTAGTACGACACGGGAAAAATTCTGAACTTGTTCGACGACTGTACGAATTCAAATTCCAGCCACTGGAGTCGCTGAAATGATAGAGACTTGTTTACATCTGAGCTAAAATTTAAAGTGAGTTTTTCTGATCACCTTTTGTTAATCGTTTGTCTCTCCTTCTGTTCGTCTTTAAACTTTTCATATTTAATTTCAACTTCTTAATTCTCAAGCACCACTAAGTCAATTTAAAGAAAGTTAGTACATGTACAAAAAATAATCCCCCTTAGGTGAAGGGGAGTTAAATTTAGAAAAATGAAGGGCCAAATCCCCTTACAAGGGGAGCTAATCAAGAAAAATAAAAAAAAAAAATAGGGTGGGGGTGGGTAAAAATAATCTTCTCTAGAACCAATGGGCCAGAAAACTTGAAACTTTCTTGTAAGCATTTTTGGATATAGTGTAGAATTTTTATTCTTCAGATCATGACCCCTACGGGTAGGATGGATCTACAATATGAAATCAAAGTTTTACATTTATAAATATATTTAAAAAAATCTTTGAAAATCTTCTTCTCAAGAATAACAGGGCTTAAAAGCTGTAACTTGGGGGGGGGGGGGGGAGCATACTGGGGTAGTGTAGATTCTGAATTGTGCAAATCATGACCCCGGGGTAGTTGGGGTCACACTTCAAACAGTATATATCCTACTATCACACATTAAACGATATTCTAACACACAACTAATCACAAAACGCCTTCTTGAATTTAAAAACCATCCACGGTCAAACATCAACACCATCCGCGTCCATCAGACATCAAACACCATCCAACAAACAAAAGATATATCTCCTATGTGTATACATTGTAACAAAATAGAGAATGCAAAACATCTGATTTTTGAATGTGATAATGTGTCTAATATATGGAATACTATAAGCAGTTTTTTTATCATTTAAAATTCAATGGAAACATATTGTTGTTGGGTTTTTCCATGAAAATAATGATAAAACTTGATCTCTTAATTTACTTATTACGTATGTGGCATATAGAATCTATAAACATGAAATGTTATGTAGATTAGAGTCTTTAAGTGAAACTGAATATAATTTATACAATCATGTAAAAAAATCAATTTGTTTCTACACTTCTGTATTACGCTTTCTATTTGTTAACACTGAGCTAAGGATTTTTTGAAAATCTTTCAAAACTAATGTGAAAATTATATATTCTTGTATAAATACTACTGGGAAGGGACCTGTCTTCCCGTAGTGCTGTCAAAAAGGGGGGAGTAAATGGACTGTGAAACGTATTTGTGGCTCCCTCGGTTGACAGCTACACTGAAATTATATCTATCTTATTTCATAATGTATACTGTATAAATATATTTTTCAAATATAATTGTACTTTAATTTTTTTCTATATAATTTATAACATCCTGCGTGATGTCATAGGGACAACAATATCATTGTTTAGAAGGAGCTTAGTCAGGGCCCCATCCCTGGCAGTTGCCTTATTTTTTTTCTAGTAATGTTAGTTTATATGTTGTTATAGATTAGGTCTGGGAAATAAAATTGTTAAAAAAAAAAAAAAAAAAAAAAAGAATAACAGGGCTTAAAAGCT